GCGCCGCCTGTCTGCGCGCTCTGGGGCTGCAGGGCCCGAGGCGGCACCCGCCCCCCCTCCCGCCTCCGCCCCCAGCCCCCTACCCCGCCACCCCGGTGCGGGATGCGGGTTCAGAGCGCGGCGCCTGCGCCAGGGTGGCCGGGGAGCCGTGGGTCTGTGTCCCCAGCGCACACACGTCCCGGACACCGGGGGGAGCCAGCCCCGCCTGCACCAGGCGCCCGTCGGGGAGGGAGGGCGCCCCTGAACCCACAGTCGTGTCCCGCAGGGCGGGACTCCAGGACCCCAGGTTGCGCTGGGCTGAGGGCGTGACTGTCCCGAAAACTGACAGAAAGCTGCCCTTCCCCCCACTAACACCTCCCCCCCACGCCGTGGAGGTTCTGGGGGTCCCGCCAGGCCACTGCCCAGCTCTGCTGCCTCACTGACACCTGTGTGGGCTTGGCCAGTCTTGGGTCGGCACCGTTTTCTGTGTGGCTTCCGAAGGCGCCTGCTGTCCCCCTACAGGACCAGGTGAGCCTGACACCCCTGTCACTGGCCACCAATTTGTCCCTGGGACAAAGCAGCTCTGAGGACCAGGCGTCTTGTTGCTGTGGGAACCAGCTTTCTCCCAAAGAACCCACTTTCTGTCTTCCCGGTGCCGGCGGGCTGGCTGGTGGTGTCTGCTGGTTGGCAGCCTTTCTCTTAAGGGTTTGTCAAAGCTCTTTACACCTTCGCACTGGACACTCTGTCACTTCTTGCAGCTCCTTTGTCCCCACTCTGGCATTAGCTCCTGACCTGGTGGTTTGGGGGTTTGTAAACCCAGGGTACTCTGAGCGTCTCCCTTTGTGGGGAGTGTCTGGGGTGAGCATAGTGGTGAGAGTAACCCCAAAGGTGCGCATCCCTGCCCTTGACCTGGCAGTTTATGTCTATTCAAGCAGAGGGGTGGGTTTTCTCTCAGTCTTCTTGTGTACCCTGGCTTACTTTGGCCTCAAAGCCATGTTTCCACTTTAAATCCAATATTGGCTGCTGACTGTGTGGCAAATGATGTCAAAGGTGGTAACCCAGCACGCTCTCGCTAATAATCTTTAATAATCGTTAGTGGGCTTGAGAGTCAGGATGCTGGACGAGACCCAGCTAAGGTGCCCTGGCTCAGAGTTCCCCACAAGGCTGCCATCACTGGGGTACTCAGATCAGCACGAGCAGCCTCCCAGCCAGCCCAGGCGGTGTGGGTGTACTACTCCTGTCCTGAGCAATCCAGCTCCCGAGCTTGCCTTCTGTCTGAACAGGGCTGGGGAACAACTGGTCAGGGCCTGTGGACATGAGCCAGGCAGAGGATTACTTATCTATGGCTGCAGGAGCCCACAAAGTATCCCCTAGTCTCCTGCATGGGTGCCCCTATGCACTGGGCTCTTTGAAACAAACTGTGGCTCTAAATTCTGCCCACCTGTAACGTGGTGTGGGCATCACAAGGGGAAGGAGCGTAGAAGTCTGATTCCCATGAAAGAATGGCAGCACTGCCTCTGTCCAGCTTTCTAGGTTTTTTAACCAATTCTGGTAGTCGCCGTCCTTCCACCTGTACAGCTCTGCTTCACTGCTGAGACAATGAGTTACTGTAATGGCCACACAGAAGTTACAGGCCATACCCAGGGTGAAGGAGTGGATGACAGAAGTGAATACATGACACAGGATCAGGAATGCAGCATCAGTCAAAGCAGCCTCTCTTAGCCATCAGGACAGCTCCACTCCCCAAGAGCCTTAAATGCTCATCTTCCCAGCTTCGTGGCCTGGGGGCCCATCAGATCATCTCCCATTGGTCTCCTTGTTTCTCTGTCACTACTTCTCCGCATCTTGCCCTGTCTCCGGTGTAACGGCTTATCCTGTCTCCTAGATCTAGGAAGTTCGCGGCACCAGGGATCTCAGGTCCAAAGGCACATGCTGCTCCCATCTCTTCTTTGCGTGATGAGGTCCCCTTTCCTGTTAATTGCACAGCTCATTTAAGCCTCAGGGAGCTCTGGTGGCCTAGTGGAAAGAAGCTGTGCTCCAATCTCAAAGGCACACAGTTTGAGGCCATCAGCTGCTCCACAGGAAAAGGAGGGCCCGTCTCATCCCATGCTATTAACAGCCTCTGAAAACCTGCCAAAGGGTCAGTTTCGCCTCTACAGTACACAACAACATTTAAGCTTCACTTACTCACTCATTGTCGATGATTTCCAACCAATTCATAGCTGACACTCCAGGGGAATTTGGAGGCTGTAAATCACACCAATTACCTACAGTGCCTCTGGTGAACTGGAACTGCCTTTGTATTAGCCTAACTCTGCGGGCTCCACCACCAGGGCTCTCATTTTAGCTTAGCCAGGTGGCAAAAGTGAGCAATCAATCCCTCTTGTCGAGTTCCAGCCACCTTATTTGCATCGTCCCGCTCCCACAAGAGGGACCTCGGGTGGCCTAGTGAGTAGAGAGCTGCGCTGCCTGATGCACAAACTGCCAAAGGTGTGCAGTTAGAATCCACCAGATGCTTCCTGGAGGAGAGATGGGAAATCTCCATGTGATTTGTTGTTATTATGCACTGAGTCACCTGCGACCCTACGTAGAATAGCTCTGAAGCCTGCCCTACCCTGAGCCAGTCTCACGGACTCTGCCATACCTACCCCATTAACCCCCGTTACTGTGTCATCTTGTCCAGGGTCTTCCTGAAAACCCATTGGAGGCTCAGCTATGAGTAGATTGACTTGATGGCAATGAGTGAGTGACTATGAGGACGCTGTGGGCCTTACTGCCACTATTAGCAAGCCTCCTATCCCCTTTGTGTGCTGCTTCTAGTGTATTTGCCCAGCCAGCCCCACTCAACAACGTAGTGGGAGTTAGATGGTCTCACCTAGTGCCACGGCCTTGAGCAGACGCCCAGCTCTGTGGCCAAGTGTTGTGCTCTGTGCCTCTAAAGAAGACTGCTTAGTGGCCTTGGTTCTGACCCTCGCCGTGACTCCCACCTCCCTGGGTCACCCTTGGGAAAGTGAGTTAACGATGAGTTCCCATGCAGGTAGGGCTGTAGGTGACAATGCCTCCAACATCTCATTCGCCCCTGTTTCTTCCTGGGGTTGAGGGTGGCGCCAAGAGGACACAGGGCCTCTGATCAGCTCAGTTGGCACTACCCGCCTTCCAAGGCCTGTGGTAGCTGTTGTTCAGGTCCGGACCTTCCCTGTGCCGAGGATACCTCCTTGGGAAGGGACTCAGGGGGTCCCTGCTCACTTTGTCCCAGAACCGCTTGCAGCTGCGTTCCCCCATGCTGCCTGTCTCCCCACACCAGTGTCTCCCTAGAGTGACACAGTCTCCAGCAGATGCCATTCTGGTCTGGGCACCCCTGGGCATTTGCCTTGGCAACATCATGTGATTAAGGCCCTTGGTGCAGTCCCATGGTATCACTGCCCACGCAGCTCAAGCCAGTGGTATGCAATGGCAGTGTGGCAGGGAAACCTGCCTAGCCACCTGGACTGGCTGTACCTGGGCCCTTCTTCACCACCCGTGTGTTCTTCAATGACTGGCACCATAGCTCCCAGGTGCGAAAGCAGGGGCAAGTAGTTTTAACATCCCTCACGACCCATTCTTCCAGGGTGTGTGCCCATCTCTGCCGACCCCGCCAGTAACCCAGTCTGGCTCTGGCCCTTCGTGCCTTCCTGAGGCACCTCAGGGTGGCTGCTCTGCAGAACATGCTCCCCTGGCCCTCTGCTCAACTCTCTGCAGCAGTGATGTGCATTGGACAGCCATGCTGCCACGAAGCATGCCAACAAACCCTGTGTCTTATTGGCAGTACCAGGCCTGGAGGTGAGGGTGGCCATGGTCCAGGCATGGATGGCATTCACCCTTTGCAGAAATCACACTGGTGGCCTGTTGGGGCTCCTGTGTTCCCATAGAGATGTGTCTGCGAGCCTTCCTGGGTTGGGAGTTGAAGGGGCATCCTGCTGATACTAAGGGGGCCTGGATTTTAATAAAGAGCTACAACTGCAAGTACACTACAATTGTTGTCTGCTTCTCCACGGGGACCTAGAAGCCGGTCATCAGTGGTATAGGGGTTGGTGACCCCTCGAGGGACTGTCCCAGCCAACCCAGCTCCTCCAAGCCCGAGAAGCTGTACCAAACACAGGAAGGACCCGATGCAGACCTGGCTCTGTTTGCAACTTTTTGAGAAAGCGCCATACTGCCTTCCACAGGGGTTGCACCATTTTACACTCCCACCAATAGTGAATAAGGGTTCCAGTTTCTCCGCAACCACGCCAGTATTTGTTGCTTGCTGTTCTGTTAAATTTTGCTATTCTTACTGGGGTGAGATGGTATCTCACAGTTGTTTTAATTTGCATCTCTCTTAGAGCTAGGGATTTTGAACATTTCTTCATGTGCCTGTTAGCCATCTGAATGTCGTCTTTGGTGAAGTGTCTGTTCATATCCTGTGCCCATTTTTCTATTCAATTCTTTACCTTTGTCTTGCTGTGGTGCTCAAGTATTTTATAAATTCGGGATACACGTCCCTTATCTGATATGTATGTCATTACCAAATATTTTTTTCCCAGTCTGTGGCTTCCCTTTTTACCCTGTTGGAGAAGTTTTTGGATGTGCATAGTAGGGATTTGATTCTTAGAAGGTCCCATTCACCTATTTTATCTTCTCCTGGTTGTAGGTGATGCGAACCTGGCTCTGGACAGCCTGGATTCACCTGGTGGGGTCAGGCCCCATGCCACTCTTGCTGTCCCTACCCCTGCCCAAGCTGAAGAGTCACCACTCAGTTGTGGCGGGGGGTGGGGTGGGAGGAGGATAGGATCCAACCAGTGGAGTTGGGTGCCTGGGAAGAAACGAGCAGCCGGGCTTGAGACCAGTCAAGAGTACATGGGATGACAAAGTGCCCAGTGGCTGGATTCCTTTTTTACATGCTATCAAGGTACAAGAATGACCTTAAAGATCACCAGCAAATGTGGAAAAAGACAAGCTGGTGTGCAACAGAAAACCCCTGGGGACGGGGACAGGGTTCAAATCACAGCTTTGACGTGGACTTGCTGTGGCTGCAGACAGGACAGTGAGGGCGCTGCATGGTGCCAGGTGCCAGCCAAGTTCACTGCCCACAGCAAGGAGCTACCAGAAGCCAGCCAGGGAGTGGTTAACATAGGGAGCCAGCACTTCTGTGCAATTCCGCTGTGTGCCCACTCTGGGGGCCACATGAAGGTCTGGCCTGGGTTTCTTTGCCACAGTGTTAAAAGCTGGTGAACTTTGAAGACTGAAACGTGCACCCATGGGAGAGAACGTGGAGTCATGCAAGAACTATGGAGGGCAAGGTGGCACTTCAGAGTGGGGAGCCCTTTCCAAGGCCTATCCAGGGCAAGCATGCACAGCCTGCCATGTGGGGAGGAATGAGCCAGATGAAACCCGCCACAGAGCAGAACATCCTGCACAGACCCAGTCAGAACGCAGCACCTGACAGTGCACTCTCCACACGGACCTACTCTCCAAGCAGGAAGAGCTGACACTTTAAAAATAAATGGTCTGTTTATTATATCCACAAAAACCACATCAGGGTGCCTTGGGGTAACCCCTGCCTGGAAAATGACACTGAACAGGAGGCATGCAGGGTGACAATACTGTCCTCTGAGGGGGCTGCGTGTGTCTGCCCAAAACCCTATGGAGCAGATGAGCAGGGAAGCTGGGGGAGTCTCCCAGGCAAGGCCAGAGCCCATGGGACAAGCCCCACCGTCAAGCCCAGCCAATACTAAGGCAGTCAGAAGCCTTCTCAAAGAAGGGCTAGCTGGGGTGGGGGGGCAGGCCTTCAGGGATGCACCAAGAAGGGGTTGTCATCCTCCACCTGCATAGAGTAATAAACGAAGACCAGGAAAGCAGCGAAAACCAAAAACAGGAGCAACTGGCCCCAGAGTGGGACCTGGCGGTCCTGGCCCAGCCCGGCCCCCAGGAGCGGCTTTTCTGGCCGGATGGCACGGCGGGCAAGCCTCGAAGGTGGGGAGTACGAGACAGAAGCAGTGGAGGAGGCTGTGGGGTAATAGGGCTGGCCCAGTGTGGCCCTGACGGTGCTGGCAGCAGGGCGGTAGTGCGCGACATTCTGGTAGGTGCTGTCCTGGGTGTACGGTGGGCAGTCGCTGAGCAAAGGGCAAACACACAGGTCGGCTGGCGGCCCGGGTCAGGACCCTCCCTCCCGGCCCTGCAGGGCGCTCTGAGACTCACCTATCCTTGCCCTCTTCATCCCACGCTGTGAAAAGACTGTCTTCGCTGTCTCCGTGTGCCTGGAGGGGATGGCGAGGGGAGGGGGCGGGCTGGCGGGTGTCTGCCCTGCTACCCCTGGTCTAGATATCCCCGGGGTGTGGGCGTCCCCTAGCAAGCCCGTTTTCTCGCTCCACGCCTTTGCTAGGTGCCTGGCCTTCCTGTCCAGCGACTGTCCCTCCTGCCTGCGCCCAGGACTCGGACACACGTCCAGCCTAGACCAGGACAAGGTGCGCCTCGGCTCCAACTGTTCAGGGAGCCCTCCCTTGAAAGATCTCTCCCTGGGTGCCCCACCCAGTGGTCCCAACCCGTCCATCCAAACTCAGTTCTCATCACAACGTCCAGGGGTGCCCAGCAGCAGCTCACCTGATGGTGGAAGGTTTCAGAATCCGAGAGTGAAGCCACAGGCTCCCCAAAGTTTTTGGCTGATCCCACAGACTCGGGTTCCCCATAAGTCCTGGTGCTCATGTAACTCTCCTCGTAATAGTCGTCATTATAGCCTTGGGGAGAGGGTGCGGGGGCTCACATCCGCCCCTCACCTGCACCCCAATACGCGGGGTGCTCCTGCCCGCCTTACCTTTGCTCTGATAGAGCAGGGCGTCCTCCTTCTTGGGCAAATCGTACTTATCCGAGTCCGCTGCCGCTGAGTCTCCGATGGGGAACGAAAAGGGAACGGGAACGGGGCCAGTTGCCTTGGGGCCTCCCACCCTTCCGCCAGACGCCCCCGCCACACCCTCAAGACCCGGCCCCGGGCCCCGGCGGCGGCCTAGCTGCCAACGGCCTCGCTGCCAACGGCCTCACCAGAGAACCAAGAGGAGAACGACGAGCTGGACAGGTTCTGGGGCGAGAGCCTCCGCCGCTGGGTCTCGTACTCAAAGATCTTTTTCTCGTACAGCTTGCGAGTGGAGCCTAGCCAGACACAGGGGCGAGGCAAATCAGGGCCGCGGGCGGCGGCTGGGAACACAGGGGGACTCCCCACCCACCACCCCGCATACCCACGACGGGCCCATGTGGGATGTTGTATTGGCGCAGCACCGCCACCAGCTCCGTGTCTGACAAAACCGAGTAGTCGTCCATGGCGCGGCGGCACGGGGTCCGCACGGCGGCCGAGACGCGGGGCAGGCCGGCCGGGAGGAGGAGCACCAGCTGCCGCGGAGGCGGCGGGCAAGGAGCAGCGAGAGCGCCTCGGCAGCAGCCGCGCAGCCGCGTCACCACCTCAGCTCCGCGGGCTCCTGAGTGCGCGCGCGCGCGGCGGGGCGTGGGGGCCGCCGGGAGCGCAGCCGGAGCGGACCGGCCGGGACGTGGGTGCTGGAAGGCGCGAGGCGGGGCTGGGGAGGCGAGACATCACAAATGGATGCGATTGGACCAAAGACAGGACCTGCACGTCAATCAACACGGCGGAAATGGGCGGGACGTGGAAGCGGGGGCGGGGCGAATAGGGTGAAATATGCCAACACAAAGCCCGGATAGCGCTAGAGAGCCGAGAGGGGCAAGTCCTCCCACGCGCCGAGGCTGGGCATTCCCTTCCCCCAATGGGAACTGGGTAGGGCTGGCGAGGAGACGTCAGACGCTCGCGTCTTCCGTAAGACATGGGAGAAAGGTGGAGTCTGTTCGCCTCCCCCCCCCCGTCCCCCCCTTCCAAGGTGGAGCCCCGCGGGGCCTGGGAGCAGCCGACTGAGCGCAGGAGGAGGGCTGCGTTGCGGGGAGCGCTGCCTTGTTCCGAGGAGATATTGGAGGGTGGGTCCTGCGCCTGGGCTGAACCGTATTGGCGAAGAGGCCCACCTCCCTAGAGTCGTCGGGCCCAGGCCCCTGAGGCCCCCGCTCGGGTCCCCGCATTCTTCCCAGGTCTCTGCTCCCCACCTTGGCTTCTGGACCTGAGTCTTCTAAGCAGACACTTCAGCAGCGCTTGCCAGGGCCAGGCTCTCCTTTCCTGGAGAGCGCTGGTGAACCACGGCCGCGCAGGGGCCTAGCCCACAGCCTGGCCACTTCCCAGGCACCTGCTCCAGGAGACTGCAGGTCCCTCGCCTCCTATCCCGTGCTGCCCGCTGTCCCCTGCCCCCTGCCCGCCTGCCTGGAGAGGAAGTGGGACATTGGGCTAAGAGGCCGCCGGAAACCACTCTCCAATCCAGGTGCTTCCAGCCAGCCCTGAAAGGGGCCAGGCATGCCCATGGGCACTGGCAAAAGATGAGGTGTGATGTCCACCTCTGTCAGCGGGCACCACCCACCGGGGGAACCTAACAGGCAAGAGAGGCAGGCTTGTTCTCCTGCTAGGATGGTCCTGAGCTGAGTGCCACCCAGGAGGGTACAGGTGACCTTCCTGAATCAGAGGAGCCTGCTGGGGGAGGCGCTCCAAGAAGACTGCGCAGAGCTTTGGGCACAGTGGCCCTGCAGGGGTGGCCACAGGAGAGGGAGACTGGGCGACGGGGTAGGGTTAGGAGTGTGGTTAGAGGAGATGTGAGGCAGCAAAGTGCTGTCTCCTTGAGAGTGAGACGGAGGTGACAGCCAACAGCAAGGCCCTCTCCCTGGGCTGTGTGAGGGGATGACAGTAATAGATGGGAGCTCTAGTGGCCTACTGGTAAGAAATTGGACTGCCAACCCAAAGGCATGTAGTTCGAATCTACCAGCTGCTCCGCGGGAGACTCTGCTTCCTTGTACTTCACAGCTTCTGAAAACCCACTGGAGGGTCAGCTAGGAGTCAGTCGAGACCCAACCATACATAAAAACAACTAGTCTACTTGGGTGGGGGAGGGTCACAAATCCTTCTCCAGAATGGTTTGCTTAGGTGGGAAGAAGCCAAAAACAAAGGGTCTAAGAAAAGTTGCTGCTGCCGAGGGAGGTCTAGAGCCTGGGTCTTGCAGTGTGCCACATAGCATGAGGTCCTTGAGACAGTGTGCAGAGGAGAGGGTCCTGGCTGGGCAGAGGCCACCTCATGGTATCGTGAATTTTGGCACAGTCAGTCCCAGGCCCTCTTGTCGCCTATCTGTAATGCTGGCCCTTATCCCAGAGGCTTGTGTGTACAGCACTGTTTCTGCCTTCTCCTCAACCACGCAGCCTCCCCCAAGCCACCCCTCCCCTATCGATGCTAGCTGTTTCCTTATGAGGTCAAGGAATTCTAAGTTTGCCTTCTCCCCAGGGAACACCTCCCCCCACACCTGCCTAGGCACTCTGCCTTGTATATGTCCCCCCTTTGCCCCTACTATGAGATCCCCCATAAAACACACCAAGAAGCCAGACTGTGATTACACTGCACCCACCTGGTGGGCACCTGGAGCCTAAGTCCAGTCACGTGGCTATGCAGCTCCATCCTAGATCATCAGATGCCAGACCAACCTTTAAGCCACCCAGACTGATAGGCCTTCCACACCCCTGCCACATAGAGAGGGAGATCAGAACCCTAAGTCCTGGTTCATTCAGGAAACATCCTCTCAGCCAGCACCTCATGCTCCCAAGGAGGGCCCTCTGGGAGCCAGCAGGAGCTGTTTCTGGGCAGGACAGGAAGTGAGGACGTGGAAATTGAGCCCTGAAGAAGAGGACATTGTCTCTGGTGGATAGTAAGAGCTGTATTGACAAATACCACAAGAGCATGGTGCTCCAAGCTTGCTCTGCTCCTTGGGAAACTGGGGGGCGGGGGCGCTTTCTCTGCCTAGTCTCTCCAACTCCTTCCTGGTCCCTTGGCAATCTCCATGTGTCTTGGCATCTTTGGAATAGGAAAGAAAATCAAGTGAGCAGAGGGAGATGTGGGTCCTTTGGCCAGATTGCCTGGTCATGAGTTTCACAGTACAGCCCCTTCCCGGTTCTGTGAGGTCTCCTCTCTGAGTCTAGACCCTTCACTAGCAAGTCGTGAAAACCCACTGCCTTTCCGAGCTGCGGTGTCCCCACTGGAGGGGGTCTGTTAGAAGTGTCCACTGAGGGTCAGGATGGGAGGGGCCCTCTGTGGGTGTTTCCCAACCTGGCACGCTATAAGCAGACAGTTCCCTTCTGTCCTCCTTCCTGCCTTCTCTCCTCCCCATCTTTCCTTCCTTTCCTCCTTCCTTCTAACCTCCATTCATTCTTTCTCCATAGTTCTTTCTCTTTCCTTCTTTTCTCCTTTTTTCAATGGAGTAGGGCACTCTGGTGGCCTAGTGGTGAGAAGCTGCACTGCCATTCCACAAGCATGCAGTTCAAATCCAGCAGCTACTCAGGAGAAGGATGAGCAATCTCCTCCCATGCGATTTACTGCCTCTGAAAACCTGTTTGGTGGCTCAGCTATGAGTGGGTTCTGACTTGACGGCAGGTACTAATGGAAGATTTTTGGAGGTATTAAGAGTAAGTCCTGCTGCGTGAATCATTTCAGTTCTGTGTATGCATCCATCTATGTATATTGGGTCAGATGCAAATTTCGTTTTTTAATTGTGGTTTGTGGGGGGAAAATGTTAAGAAGACACTGCATGACAGGTCCTTCCTCAAGGAAGTGGCATTTGATATCCATGTGAAGCTTCCAGCCAAGTCATAAAGAGGAAGGGACAGTCATGGCAGGGCGTGGCTGTCTGCCCTGCTGCCCACTCCCGGGTTTGGGGCTGCCTCTAGTGGAGTATGTGGGGGTCCTGAGAATCCAGTTTGCTCTCTGTCCCTGCTCCAGGCCAGGCCATGGCACCCAGTGGGGTCATACCTACAAGGGGAGGTGAGGGCTGACAATTTATCTTGGCCTCAGAGTCACTCCAGTCTAACCTTCATGGAGCCTGGCACCAAGTGGGTGCTCATAGAACACCTGCACCTACCTCCTGCCCACCCCCGTGAGGGCAGCAGGAACTGACTCTGCCAATTGCAGGGCTGGGCAGAGGCAAGGCCTGGACAAGGGGCCATGATTCTGAGGGGCTTTTCGGAGGAAGTGGTCTATAAACCTGGGCCCTTCAAGATGGGAAGCACTTGGCTCCCCTAAACTCCTCATGCCATGAGGAGTCTGCAGACTCTGTGGAAGCCCCCCACCCCTATCCCGCATGCTGGCAGCCTTCGCTGGGTGGTGAGCTCATCGGGGGGGGGGGATTAGGGGGTGGGTGCAGCGTCGCCACTGCGGCCTGGGCGCCCGAGCTCTCAGCGCACCCCCGCCCCCGACTCCTGGACGATTTTACCAATTAAGGCTTTCTCGCCGGGCCGGGCCGGGCTGGGCGCGGGGCGGGCGCGGGGCGGGCGCGGGCCGGGGGTGAGGCCAACAAGAAGACAGGCGGCAGCGGGCCATTCACGGGCAGGCGCGCAAAGCGGACGCCAGCAGAACCAGACACCCGGGCACCGACGCGCAAAGGAGCCGGGCGCCACCCCGCGGTCGCCAGCCGCGCGCAGGGACCGCAGGTGAGGTCTGTCGGAGGCCAGGCTCTGGGCAGGCTGGAGGGGCGCTGCACCGCACTGAGGCGAGAGTGATGAGCAAAGGCCTAGAGAATGCAGGCGCAGATGCGCACCAGATGGAGCCGAGGTGCGCGAGCTGGGTCCTGGAGCCACGCTCCAGTTCCTGTCTGCGCCGAGAATCTGGGAACCCAAGGCCATAGGGTCCTTGAGAGGTGAGCAGAAGGTGGGTGTACACCTTCAAGCCTTTCTGAGAAGGAAGGACCCCTAGAACAGGTTCCTGTGTGGGTAAAGTGTGAGTGATCCCAGAAGGCCACCTTATAGCTAGTGTGCCCCATGGCAGGGCAGTGGGGGAGTTCCTTGTGGACACAAACCTGTGGTGCACCAGCTGCTGGAGCAGGTTCCCAGGCTGGAAGCTCAGGCCGACGGAAGTGGGGGTGTGGCCAGGCACCAGCAGGCCGGATTCCCAAATTGGCGCTGATCTAGATAGATGGTCCCTGCCAGTTAGCATGTGAGCAGCTTAGATTCCCATGGCCTCAGGACCAGGGACTCGGGCTTCAGTCAGTTTGGACATGGTGGTTTATGCTCCACAATGTAGGTGGGCACAAAGTGGCCAGGAGAGATTGGCCGTGTTAATTGACATGTCGCAGTTCTAGGTCGGCTGATCAAAGCCCTGCACTTAGGGCTTTAGCTGGAGGGCCAGGCATAGGGTCTGAGGGCCGGGGTTGAGGTGGGGGGCGGGGTGTGCCTAACATCCAAGA